AATGCAGCCTCTACGCGGTGGGCGGTCAGCATAGCACCTGTCTCTTATACACATCTAGATGTGTATAAGAGACAGTACTACAAGAGGTGCTGAAATGAGCCGTAGTATCGATCGTAAACAATCAAATTAACAAGACAATAATTAAGTAATTTACCAAAATTGGGAAAGATCGAAGCAATCAAAAATATAATTCAAGGTAAAGCAATAGTAGATCAACAAATTACAAGAAATTAATTAAATAGTAACCTTGGCCGGCGGTGCTTAAATAATTCTAAGCGTAGCATACTCTTTTTCTAAAATTATATAAGTAAATCTAAATTTTGAAAGGATTGAATATAAACTAATATGTTTCACACATTAGGCAAACTACATTCTTTACTTGTTGTATACTATATTAAACATAATAATTACGTCATCTAATAAGTACACTCACCTGAACAATCGGGCCATACGTAGTCTGGATGACAGGTACATCTACAAGTTTCTGAGTCCAATGTCCCACAGTTTTTACATTGCAGGCTACAAACTATAATATTGTATAGCAAGCAATAGCAACATACCAACATTAAATTTATTTTTTATTTATCAATCTAGGCGTATCTAATGAATATTATATCATACATAGGATATCATATCAACGATAGCAAGGAGATTTCACAATTTATACCAAAGCGTTAAAGCCATTCCCGGGAAAGTTTCAGTTGTTAAGAAAAATCTAATTTTTGTATAATGTTATAGATTATATATGTAAGATTTATAAAATAATATAATACGGAATTGCTAATTTAAATGAATTTAGACATTCCTAAGCATGAAAAAAAAAAAAAATTGTGTTCCACGCAAAAAAAAAATAAATGCGGATGAATTTTTGAGTTTAATTTTGCGACAGGTCTGCGAAGAAATATAGTAGGCGCCGAAAACATTAGCCTATCCCAACACTGCTAGGCTAGGCCTAGCCTTACTTCGAGTTAGGTTCGGTTATCACACATAAAAACGGCCGACATGATATTTTCCGTTGCTAATATTGTCACTTGTGAAATATAATATTTCATAGGAATTATTTCAAATTTGTTAAAAAACTGATTCTGACCGAGATTTTGACACTTAAACAAACATATCTCCTCCCTACTCGAACGACCGCATTGTGCGAGATGGGGAAGTACAAAAACTAATCCTATTAGAGAGGGCGCACTTTATTGAATGTATAAAGTATACATAAAAGCTTGAGTATTCCAGCGGATGCGATCTACAACCTCTGAATTTGCCTAGTAACGAAGAATTCGTCGAGAAAAATGGTAATATTCTATGAGAAATAGTCTGTATTTCTCATTTTTTTGTATTCTTTTGCGTAAAACTAAAATTTATGCCAATATTTTTAAATGATTTATAATAATTGGAGTAATCCATATGCATCTTTTCTAGAAAAAAATCTGTTTTTAGTGAAATTTTGCCGGGAGTGATTAAATGAATTATTTTTTGCATTGCAAATTATTGTTATAAAATTATTTATAATTACTTAGTTCAATTAAAATAAAATTTTATAGAATCTATGTCATCATTATACGAAAACATGCCAAAAAACCGTATTAAGGGGACAATTTTACGTTTTTGGTTAGTTATTTCCCCCCTTTTCAGGGGACACCCCTATTATAAGGGACACTTTTTTTGGTCCCAAAGGTGTCCCCTTCAAATAGGAGTTATATATACTGTACTTCTAGTAGAGCGTCAGCCTATAATAGTCCTACATACATAATATTTTTATAAATTAAAGTGTGTGAAATGGTGGGGGAATATTAGTTTCTACCTTCCCGACATACCATAGGTCTAGTGCATACGATAACGTGAATGAAGTTACTGTTAGGGGTTAGGCACTGTGCCCGGAGTCCTATCTATGCAAAGTAGAAGAAATACAGCACAATGAACGTCTGCTCTGGCGCCGCAACGAGTTGATTTAGTTTCTGTACCACTCCCAAGGATATTTTATCATTATGACCTATTTTCTAGAATAAGATACAGTACTAGCGAATGAGTACTTACCAGGGAAGAAATTACGTGCTGCAAACAAACATATTTTTGAAGATACGTTTCTGTTACTAAAATAATCCACTCAAATATCCATTCAAATCCAGGTGCTGAAAATCTCTTCTTCCACGTTTAGCCAACCGTTAGCATACAAGTTTATGCAAAGCCTGTATTCGACGGGTCGGTTCTTCGTTAAACCACGCCCACCTAACCACCTCCAATTATGAGACCCCTCTAATTAGAGACCGAAACAACCTTTATGGAGTACCAAGTGACAAAAAAACCTCCAATTCAAGACCACATTTAACATATTCAAGTTTTTTTTTTTTTAACAATAAATAGGGCCTACTCTTTAAATTTGAAAAATTGAACTGTAGGCCTATTTTATTTGATACAGTCCTGTTTCTGCCATCGCCTGCACTATTCCCCGGCTCCGTAGCCAGGGGAGGGGATATTCCCCTGCTAGTCCTATGTAAATAAAGGCAAAAATTATTTTTTATAGTAACAAAAACTATTATTGGGGGCAAATATTGGGGAAATTTGGTCAAGATGAACACCTGACATATTATCATCCAAAGATTTGTAAATAAAGTGTCATCCTGAGCGTTTCCCTGTTGGTATTCGCATTGATGTGAAAAGAAGTGGATATTAAGCCCCGTAGCCAAAATTAAGGGGAGGGCGAAGGGCCAATTCAAATTCAGCACCAACAGTAGCAGTACTGAGGTGGGCGTGGCCCTTCTAGTACTTGGTCGCCACTCCCCCCACCCCAACTCTGATCAACGAGTCCAGCTACGGGGGGCTTCTCTCCCCAACTTTTTCATGGCCATGAGGAACTCATTGGAAAATTGCTTAATTAAAGATTGGTATAAGGAAAGGCCAGTAACAAAATAGAAAATAACATTTTCTTTATGTAAATGATGGACACTAGACATAAACCTAACTTTAGTCAAATAAAGTGTAAATTTTATGTTTACTTTACAGTGGGCCTATATGCCTTTCATATTTTGTTTCAATGTGTTTTAAACAGCTTCAAGTTGGTCACAAAAATTTAAAGCAAACAAGAGTTTTCTTTCAAATAAATAAATGGTTGTCCCATGGAGGCCCTCTTATCTTCGGTCTTCATTCAGAGGTTTCAGGTTCGGTTACCCTCCAAATGCTGCTTGGAGACCACTTCAAGCCTGGTCTCGAATTAGAGGGCGGACTGTACTCGACAAAACAAAATGGCTGCATAGTTACCGCGATACACGCTGCGTAATCAAGGTTGCTTCGGATTGTACATGGCAGTGTGGGTTTTTTGTAAAAAAAAAAATGTTTTCATCCAGTTTTTGAATTATGTTAGACTACAATTATTTTTTGACTTCATGTGGGTAAATATTATAACTTTTATTTTCTTAAATTTAGTCTAATTATATTAACGCAAATGTTGTTGCTAAACTAATCAATCGACCATGTTCGTTTTGTTCACGTGGATAACTTAACACTGATTATCGCACTCTGGTTACGTTAACCAAGGCAATTACCTTGAATTACCTTGCGTTAACTTTCGTTGTCAACGAAGTCTATTTTACGGACCAGTCGAATGAAATTAATACTCAACGAAAAATCGTAGTCAACGAAATGAACCAGTCGAATAAGCTTAATATTTAGTAATTATGAAGCAGAGGCGGCGGAAGCGGGGGGGGGGCCCCCCCTCCAATTTTTCTACTGGGGGCCTTTCCCCCACCACTTTTGTGACTGTTCCCATGGAGAACCAGTGGGGGTGCGCTATGCCAATGTAATTATTGTTGCTATTTGGTGAGAGACCTTGTTTATTTGCGCCTTATGAATTGACCTAGGGCCTATCATTATTATACAATATAACAAAATCATATTAATATTAAATTGGTGTCGAATATTATATAATGATGATAATTGCTCATTATTATATTATTTAACGTGTTTGTAATAAATTTTAGGCACATCAGCGGTCACGTTTCATAATTCGACATCGAATTAACACATGATTTACGAAATAGGCCTAGGCCCTATCTTTATAAAATTCAGAATAACAGTAAAGTTTTTTTAAAAAAAAAAAAAACAAAGAAGTTAAATGGAAAATAGTTAAAATATTGTTCCTTATCTATTATAGCATTGTATTTACTGGAAATGTGTTGATCCGATTGTTTATACGGACTGAATACTGTAAAGCCCTTTCAAGGGCGCGCGAAAGTCCCGAAAATTGCACGCTTTTAATACATAAATACATTTTCCAAAATTAGAAGAACCGTCATACAATTCAAGCCTCCTTGTTGGTAGAAAAATGACCATTTTTTATTAGCCTAATTGCTAATCAATAAGATCTTAGATGGTACATTTCTTTGATACAAAAAATATAAAGAACGGCATTGAAATTGCTTAAGTAATTAATAACTACTGATTTATGGCTGTTTATATATGGCGGCCATCCCGGATGTTGGACTTCGTAAGACCTTTTTCTGTTATTTAGCACATCCAATTCTACCAAAATCCGAAAACATTTAGTAGCAATTGTTTTGAGGTTGCATTCCCTTTTTTAGCTATCTACTCGCTAAATATTAAAATTTACTGACAAATTACCATATCATCATATGATCATCACTGTCATCATCACAATTTCAATTTCAGTTTATTTATTCGGGTAGAATATGAGAAAAAGATAAAAGTACAAAGGCCACATATAAAATCGAACACAAAAACTCACCACTGGCCCCGGGGAAACCTGGGTGTAACAAAAAAAAAGCGGCGGTCAATTCGAAAAAGGTTCAAATGTTGTCATGAAGTCTAAGCAGATATGATTTCAGAACATTTTTGAACAGTTCAAATCAATAACCAGGTGTTCCTTGATAGTGTCTAAAAGTTGATTGATAATCGTTGGAATCTATAACAAAGGTAGAATAAGCATCTTCTTTAGCTCCTAAATTAATGAACATCACAGAATTAACCCTCCTTCTGCTAATTATGGGGAGTATGCTGTTATCGATATCAAAAATATTATATAAGCACTTTGCAACGTATACTTTAAACGATTCATTAGTGTACATGGTTTCAGTTGAAAGAGACGATTATCATAGGACAAGTGGTTAGGGTCATCGTGCCTTGTATGTAAAACATGCTCTAGTACATGAACGCTGCACATATTTTCCACTTTGTTAATATGGTTTTGCTGATAAGGGAGCCAAACCTGGCTACCGTATTAAAAAAAAACAAAAAACACTGTGATTCCTAGATCCAACAGTACGTCTTATTGGTCAAATCTCTGGAAATGATGACACCCAAGTATTTACAGATACAGATACAGATTAAATTTATTGTCAATGTAGACGCAAATATACAATGAAATAGTATCGGCTCGATGAACGCAATATAAATAACATGAGTAACAACTATACAGTGAGACAAACATTTAATTTCTGGATACCAACCACGCATTTATAGCTTTGATGGCAGACAGAAAGTATGAAGCTCTTGATCTTGTACGAGATGCGTATGGGGTTTTGTAACGCTGACCAGATGACATGAGGCAACAATGAGAATTACTGGGATGAAAATGGTCACTGATAATAGACGTTGCCTTATTGATGATACGCTGATTATACAGAATGTCTAATGAAGGTTGTTGCATATCGATTGTTCGAGAAGCACGTTTGACAATCCTATTTAAAACGTCTTTATCATCATAATTAGCATATTCATACCAGTATTTAACTATCAACAACTTCCAGAGGGTTGCCATCAATCTGGTACAGGGTGTCATCCCCACCAGTGGTACTGGTGATGCTGAGCACTTTGTATTTATCTGGATTCTGACTCATAACAATTATCCCTACCCCATTGGACAATTAGTGTCAATATCATTTTGAAGAATTTGAACATCCCTAGCTACTTTAATAGCGCTGTAGGCAACGGTGTCATCCGCATATTGGGGTACCTGTAAATTAACATTTATGATCATCATCGTCACCACCACCTCCCATCATTATCCCTATCATGGTCATTATCATGATCATCATCACCATCATCACGATCATCAACACATAATTATCATCATCATCATCATCATCATCATCATCATCATCATCATCATCATCATCATCATCATCATCATCACCACCACCACCATCAACACCGCTATCACCATCGTCATCATCATTATCACCATTAGGCTCATTAAACCATTAATATTATTACTCTATTGAATGGTATAATTTTATATATTATAGGCCTATAATGACCGAAATCGTGAATATAAAATTACATTATTAGTTTTCGGAAAATAAAATACTCAGTAACACACATTGTATTTAAAATATTTGTTTTATTCGAACAAATCACAAACATGCATTTCCATTTTACTAAACTGTCTGGGCAACCTTACCTAAGATGTGTGCCGCAATCATCTTAGTATCGGAAAACACTAAAATGAATGCGTGAACTATGAATAAATAACCAAAGATCTCTTGGGTAAAAGGGCACTGTGAACTGAAACACACACGAATTGAATATCGACACAATTTTTTTTAAAAACTGTATACATTTGAGTTATATAACAATACAAAATATTAATAAAAACGACATAGCCATATGTATGCCAAAAACAATCCATTATGTGTAATAATAATAAAAATCATAAATCAGCCACACATGGCAGTGCCAATGAATACTTTCGGCCATAGACCTCATCACGTTTATCATCAACAACAAGAAACTACGGACAATTAGTAATATATATGACCAGTAATATTTTATTATAGTTCATTATAAAAAAAAATGTCATGCTGAAGGAAATTAAATAAACTTTTTCATGTTCTTTAATAAAATATGACTGGCTAACGGGCAATTTATTTGAAAAAGTAAACGAATTTTTACTGTGCAAACTTCATACCACACACTACGTACCGGTACATTAAAAATGGCGCAAATCTAACTCTTATGCTTTCTTTCATAGGCCTACAATTGAATTTTTTTTTTTGGTTGACAATTGGTAGAACATAATAAAGATAGATAATGATAGTGTTCAAATAATGAATTTATGTTATCATCTTATCAAGCAATAGCCCTTCGATGAAATGTTCCCTATCAGCAGGTATTATATCCGTTATAATATCCGTTATAGCGGTACCAAATTATTTAACAATCTTCCTAACAATATAACATTGTCCCCCACAAGTAAACTATTCTCATAGAAATTTCAAAAATACCTCCTTTCTAATTACAATTAATGTAATACTTAGTCGTGTTTTTTATGATTTATGATTTACATCAATTAATTGTGCTTCCTCTTTATGTTTATATGTCTAGGACTATATTTATTGTTCTTCGTAATTATATATTTATTTATTATCTATAAGATCTTATTATTGCCTAGCCCATCACAAGTTTTAATTGGATTTTGTTTCCAATTAATTTTACTTACAGGGCACATGCCTCTTTCCATTTAATTTATATTTACTAAAATATTATATATAAATACCTTAAATATTTGTTAATAATTATTTTTTAATCGTTATAATAATTGTGAAAGAAATAAATGTTGATTTGATTTTATTTGATTTGTAAAAAGTACTTTCGGAGGTTTTGAACCTTCCAACTCTCTCAAGGTGAGTGCCTGTCCGCGAAACCTTAGAGGCCGGTAGAGTATACTAAATTGAGATTCTTTAATACATTCTCTGAATTGAATATACACCCGAAGGTTGTTGCAGGCCAGATAAAACCTTAAAAAGTCACAATTATTTCTATGAAGGGTCCTTATACATAGCCTACCTTTGTTTGTATGTAGTTTGCATCAACTTAAGCCTACGTAATAAAATATAATATACAAATTATAATTAATATATTATATATACTAAAACCTTCTTGCCACGATATGCACAGGTCTTTTTAAATTATGATTCCTCCTCTCAATAAAAGTAAATCTAATGCCAGAAAGATTAAACAATATTTAATATCGTGCGGTATGCGGAAACAGTCTGATACAGTAATAATATAACGAATTTGCTTGTACATTCATAACATTTTTTTTTTCAAATAATGTGAAAGGGACTTTAGATTACACAATCGTACTCAACAGATTAAAACACACAGACATAATTAATCAAACAGCTTAATTATATGCCATGTTTGTATTTAATGTTTCTAATACGTTACTGTTTCGACTTATAACAACCCTTAGATTAAATCTCACATTATAACTCGCAGCACTGAAATTGCGCGCCTGTTGGTGGTTAATGTCGGACTAACCGAATGACAGCGAATTATTGAATAATATTCATCAAAATATGATTTTTTTTGTAAATCTAACAGTTCATCACGTTGATAATCGAGTTGGAATTCGTGCTGAAATACGGGGTATTAGAGGCTCAATCATACGTTAAGTAATTCAGGAATTCGTGAGATAACGTGGTTGCGTTAAAGCGTCATCTACTGTAGATGACAGTCGGCACGCGTGAAAGCGTCATCAGACTGAACACCATGCCATGAAGACAACATTGCTGTAAGCCTATACAAACGACGCTGCCGCCATCATCCAAACGCCATTGACTTTTCGACAACGACCCATTACAAAACGCTTTACAACTGGCTCTATATTTTTCCTAAGGTCCTATTCAGTGCCTAGTAAAATTACCCCGTCGGGACAGGAATTCCGTCACCACAAATGACACAGGAGCGCCGCGGATGATAGCGATCCGCCGACAGAAAACATATATAAACTATCAAATGCCAAACTAATCGGCAAGCAACTATAATTGTTTAAGCATCACTAAGCAGATGAAAGCAATTAATAAATTTATTTTGAAGACAGAAAGTGCATATCATTATTATCAAACAATAAAGTATTAGTACAGTAGTCTTGCAACTGCTGGCATGATACCATTCCATTATTTTGCTTGTAAAATCCTCTTTATCTTTTAAATTTGGCTAATTCCTGCGCAGTAGTTTTTAATGGATGACGAAAAAGAATAAATTTTAACAACATTATTATTTCGACCATCCAAATGAAGAATAAAGTACCGTATGACAAGAGATAGTGAACGGTGATATGACGTCATGTTAACAGTATACAGTACTGAATGAATTGTGTTCGATTACAGCGAAATCTATGGTAAACATGTAAAGAAGACACCGAAATTTATAATTTATTACTATCAATAAAAAACAAAACAAAACAAAACAAAACCCAGATTCAAGTGTCAATCCACATGTCCACAATTAGTTATGTAATTAAGTTGCGATTGATAAAGAAATGATACGATATGTAGCTCGAATATAATTAATTGTGGTAGGCCTACTATAAATTTACTGGTTTAGACGAACATCGTTAAACGATGATATTTAGCAAACATTAACTGTGTATAATTAGTAGGCCAACACGTATTGGATACCTTCTATCGTATAGGATAAAAACAAAAGTAATAATTAATTTTGTTTGTTAGGAGAAATTGTGAAAATCGTTAACAATTATTGTTAACGATTATCACTATTTCTCCTATTCATATCCAGAAGATTAAAGGAGCATGCAATATATTGGTGCCATTATTCTGCTACATACAGAAAAGAAAGGGTGATTAGGGAACTATATCATTATGTATTTTAAAATTTAATGCATTAGACACATATAATATTTATCAAATTGTAGAAAATACGTTTAGCTTTGGTTCAGCTTTTAAACAATATTGCTGGTTGTAAATTGATAGGCCTATGTTGATAAATATTTCGGCATGTGGGCAATATTTATAACAGGTATTACATGGGGCGGGATATGTTTAAGGTTGTGTATTAATCTGTATCATATACAGCACGCCTATATAGCTGATTATATATACAATTTTGCATTATTTATGCATATGTTTATCATAACAATATAATTGAATACGTATAAGCAAGTATTGTTGTATGTGTCCAGGTATATACTGTACATTAACGATTAACACATTTAATGTATCGTTGGAGTTAATAAATCAACTCAAAGGCATACCACCGTCACACCACCGCCTAAGACATCAGATGGTTAGGCAAAACGGGGCCGGGGTTAGGCACAGACGGGGTTCTTAAGGATGCAGAGGCGAAGACCTGACGGGGCCTGGAGCGAAACACTATGCTCATGAAATTATTATGGAGACATATATGGAGATATATCATGCTCATAAAATTATTATGGGGACATATATGAAGACATAATGTGCTCCCTTCCGACCACTGGTGCTTGCAGGGCTTAACATCACTAAACCACCTAAAATAGGCCTAATATTATCGGTTACAAAGCCACCACAAAAAAGGTCAACTTACAACCATGTCATCACATTACCACTGATCACATCACCACTTCCCATACCAGCACCAAAAACCGCTGTTGACTACTTTTGTACCACAATACCATTCATAGTCATCGCATCATTAACATTATTATATAAATCACATCACCAATTTACATAATTTGTTAATCATCGCATCTCGTATCAACAACACTATCATATCACCAATTTTCCTACGCTTTCATACAGTACATCATCATCACATCTCGCATCCCACTATTCACTTACCGCTTACAACCTCTCCATTAAATACTAGTACACACCAACTCTTACATCTTAGACGGATCACACCACCGCTATTACTTCATCAAATCGATCACACTATCCTCATCATTTTCTCACCAACGGTCGTGTCGCACAATTTACACGAAACCTGGACTTACATACAACACAACATGCCGTTAACAAATCGCGACGATCAGCAATTGGATACCCTTTCACAAAATCTTCCTTCCCATAATATTCACATTTTATGTCTCTTGCATTTAATTTTCAAGTATCGATTTTAATTAATAAAAAATAAGCTGAACATTACATTCTTATATAAAATGAAAAACAACATTATTGGAATCTTATTCATTAACTTAACTAATACTTCATAAAAGGTGTGTTAAGTACTTTTTATATTTTCTGTACAATAATGTAACTATTAGCATCAAGATATTTAATATTATTTACAATTTTAAATCAGTCTCTGTTTATAAAATGGCCATCCCTGAAATACATATCTAAGAGTAACTCCAACTAACGGGAGAACAATCTATACATAAATTGTAATATAAAGTATTTAATTTTGCGCCGAATAAAAGTGGGTTCGGCATTCCAAAACAAAAAGGATACAGAAAACAAAACACGATTTAAACAAAATTGTATGAAAAGACATTTTATTTAAAGAATATTTAATCCATTGTCTGAAGGCGGTGATTACTTCTAACTGGACTGATTTTTTTTATTTTAAAGAAACGATTACGAAAACAAGTTCGGATAGAGATGTTGCATCTGTTGCATCAACCTATTCATTGTTCAGATAGAGCTTTGCTCGAATAAAATAGTGACGGAAATGATAATGGTGGAAGATCAATTGTTCAGGAAACGTACTCCACAAAAAGTATTTGCTGCCCTCTTGAGTGGCGTCAAAGTTATTATACTTTTTTTTTTTATTTCAAAGATGAACATCAATCAAAAGTGCTTGGCTGAGTTCTTCTTCTTCAGAAAGTTTTTCACCAGTTCCACTTTCCTCCAGTAACTTAGCATGTCCGTTCGTGTTATTGTCTATTTGAATGAGTGACGTTTCCTGAAACACATCATCACTATGATGTTCATCATTGCATTCTGTTGCTGAATCTCTCGGAATACCGCCGTTGGAATTAAGATCTGTAATTCTAGCGATATGAATTCCACCATTTGCGTCGTTTGATGATGATTCACTTACAGAGAAAGTTTGTGTTTTGTTATTAGCATATAAAGAACTTCGTTGTCTAGAATCGCTCCTTAGTCTCAGATGCATCAGACGTCGATTTAACTTGGCTCGAACCTGAAAAAATATCCTCATTCAATGTTTAAAATGTCAAGTTTTGATCACTCTAACACACTATGATCTGCGGACAATAACACTTCACAAAATACAAATAAATAAACAATACGAAATAATACGTAATAATTTGTGCAAATACGAGAACAAAAACACAAAACAATCACAGCAACCACGGCAAGCAGAAAGTAAATATGAACCGGGAAAACCAAAATGTGCAGATGAATTGAAAGTTAGAATGCCAATTAAAAAATGAATATAATGAAAATAATTAACATAATAAATGTATATTGTAAATAAATAAAGATGTGTTAGTTTACCAGATGCAATTCACCCAATCAACAAAATTGTTTGCAATTTTATCTAACTAAAGTTAAATACAAAAACTAGATCCTACCACCTGATAGCATTGTTTAGCTTAATGGGGCACCGAAGGAGAGGGATACACTCTTCTGTTGTTTTCAGGGTTTTTCTAAGATCAATTACAGTTTATTGAAGTACCGGAGTTAGAAATCATGTGGCATCCTTATACTCTTAAAATATTGAAGTTTGAAATATTAAATTTTAATTAAGACTCTGGTCTACATGGAATTTATTAACAAAATTACATACCTGTAGAAGACAATTATTGTCTTCTACAGGTATTATTATATTTCTATATTATATTATTATTATTCTACAGGTAAATATTATATTTAAAGCAAAGTTTGTAACTATCAGTTACAAAAAAAAATGAATATATAACGTATATATATCCATTTTTCTTGCACAGTTCTCTAATTATTGCAATATACACATCTAGATGTACCATAGTATGCTGCGTAGCACTGAGCATATTATAGTATAAGAATAATTTATATATATATATAATTATATAATTTGTATTATTAATATATATATATATATATATTAATAAACTAATTATTATATTATATGTTTATCGCCGCTATTTCCGTGAACCGACAAATACGAAGATCGCGATTGAAAAATTACCACTTGTTGATGCCAATTTCTGACCCGAAAATATGGTAGTAAGATTCTTGTATATTAATATACAAGTCTCCCTCCAATTAAAGACCACTTTCGGGACCGGGGTTTTAGTGATCTTTAACAGCTTTGGTCTCTAATTAGAATCTCTCTAAATAAAGACCGGCACTAAAAGTGGACTTCAAGTATCACCATTTAGAGGGAAATCAAGAAACGATATAGTAAAGTTACTGTACGCTGTTATTGATTCTTAACCATTTCCTGGTACGTAGCGTAGTCAATCATCAAGTCCTGAGCTCATTAGTTCTACCCAAATCACCATTACAATATTACTAACAATACTGTCCTGCTAATAATATATAACACTATAATATAATATACACAAAACATCATCTTATATTATGTATTATTTTGATGTACTGTATATCTAGTCATATCATCATCATATATTTTTAAAAACTGCATTAAAATCACTATTTATTGAAGGATTATACATTTTTCGAATTTTCTTCTAAGTGTTTTAGACTGGATTAATGTATGCTGTTGCTGATTCATTATAAACCATTTCTTTGCCACACCACAAGTCTGTGCTCAAATATCCATTTAATTAGAAAAAAATACAAACTTCAACATCCTACTAACTCTATTGGTATTCAATATGGAGCACTGTTCACAAAACATCGGCTTTTGGTGCGTATATTGTTTTGATGTCTGTAATGTGGTTTGTAAAATAAAACTGCACTAACATCGCTATGTATTAAGTAGTTGAAAATTTTCAGTTTTGTCTGCCAAAACCATGGTAGTTGGTGTCTAATAGAATCACTATAAGTAAAGACTGGTACCCAACATGGGTCCCAAGTTGGAAGAATCTACATCTGGGAAATCTGTTAAATGAGTTTTCTTGCACATCTTAAATATATTTTGCTGTGCATGGTGATAACTAATGTGACTGCACTGAATTCTGGGAGACAATTGATAATACAATAGTAAAATATTTCTTGTGGGAGTGCGGAAGGCCTTCCAGCAAATTTCTAGAAGATCCTACTGCGGGACTCTGCTGGAGATTTGGGACTCCTGGGCTCTAAACATGGTCCTTAGATTAATTTAAACACTTCAGAGTAGCCAGATATCAACTTGTATTTCCATTTACTAACATTGACACAAACATTATCATTATTCAATATACACAAAACACTGTACACAAAACAGTACATTGGCTAATATTTTTATGTGTAAGCCATATATATCATTATTTATTATAGAAAGAATTGCATAAATATCACTATCTATTTTATAGTGGTCTTTAATTGGAAGGTAATTTTCAGTTGGGTCTGCCAAAACAAATGTCTTTGGTCTCTAAATAGAGGGATTCTTTAATCGGGGGAATAGCTAATGAAAGATAGGCATTCAACCGGGGCCGCAGAAATATTGTCTTTAATTGGAGGGGTCTTCAATTGGAGGGATCCATTGTAGTTACAACTCACAATGTTTGTATCAATCTATTAATTAATTATTAATTTTAAGATATTAATTAAGATATGTTAAGATACATTAATTAAGATTCTTGTCAGTTGGTGTGAAAATTATTTGCAATCGCAGTTTCTCTATAAAAAAACACGCGGTAGACCTATTCGCGCGATAGAAAACACATTGGCAATGTTTTGGGTTCAATTCTTAGGCCTACATTTACATCCAGCGTTAGGCCCATTGAATTGTTTAAATGCTTAATTAATTAAAAATATAAATCATGTGGATTAAATTATAGAATTTGCAATAAAACTTATAATTTATAAGATTGTTTTCTAGAACAGAATGAAATAGATAACATTTTTATTTAAAAACATATTTTACATAGACGTAAGTTGATTTAATATGCTCTATCATTATCAGATGTATACCTATTATATTTCTATAAATTAATCAACAAATATCTCATTAATCAAACTATCGTAAGTAGGCCCATTGAAGTATTATTTATTCATTATTAAAGTATTATTCGAGCACTGTTATTATTATTATTATTATTATTATTATTCTATATATCATTTTTCAACCATAGTATGACATTGAAAACATGAATTATGTGGATAAAAGTATAGAAAATAAACTCATAATTTATAAGATTACTTTAACAAAATAGATTTTTAGAAAAATAAGTTTTACATAAACGTAAGTTGATTTAATATGCTGATTCATTATTATCTCATTAAATCAAACTATTGTAAACAGGCCTATTAAAGTACTATAAATTCATTGTTAAAGTATTATCCGAGCACTGTTATTATTATTATTGATTAGTTAATATAATTAATTAATTTATGTCATCTATTGATAACAACATCCATTTTGATTAATTAAACAGCAGCTTTTCGACTGTGGCAGTGCCGGGAGAAATACTGAAGTTTTGCAGGCACTGCGGCAGTGGCGATAGAAAAGAGGAGCTTTTAGTATATTTAGAGAAATCAAATGTATCATATTAGAGCAAGGCTTGATGGCCACTCAATCTTTTTTTTTTTGGTTCATCAATATTTTTTTTCTTGTCTTTGCTTTTAGAACCCCAACGAAATAAACCTGTGTAAATAGTTTTCTTGGGCTATCCTGGTCAAAATCAACTTGTTTTTTTTTGTTTCCCTTTTTCCAGTTTTTAACAATACAGCTTTTTTAATTGTTGTTTTTTAGGTAATTGTTTACTCCAAAGTCTTTTACGGTGTATATACAATTTTTGGAAACCTTTTAAAGTTTCTTATTACAATGTTTTTACACTTTTATGCAAAGTACATTTGTTTGAACTGTTCTCAATTTTATGCAATTTTTGCGCCATCTGTTTTAAATTGTGTACGGTATCAATGTTATGAGGTTCCGTGATTTGTATGTTGATTTTGACCGAATAAATGAATAAATAATGAATGAACTTTATATTTCACACAAACGAGAATCTTACAGTATAAACTAATACACATAGGGCACGTGTAGGCCTAAGTATGAACTGATTCAGTTTATCACCTCGCTAATTACGTATTGATATACTAACTAAAGCGATCTCATACGGTACAGTATCACAGGCAAAACTACTGGCTAATAGTTGGAGAAACTGATCTTAAATGAAGTTACTTCTGCATTGCGATTATTTTCTATTAATATTTTTTTATCATTATGTAATTAACATCAACATCAACGTCATCGTCACCCTACCACACCACCCCCATCATGTAAATCAAAGGGGTATAATGTTACTTGATTGATCTACGGTAAATCTCTTTACTATCTCTTTGAACTTGTGAACCTGGTGATTTGCAATTTTCAGGTAGACAAATCCAATTGGAAAAGGGCACTCTCTCTTGGCGCCGCCATTGGTGGGGACCTCCTTGGGGTCCCCCGGGTACATTTCATGTCCATGTATGGTGGTCCACAGAATTTAGAGAAGATTACGATAAAAATAAAATACTGTACGTCCTATCATCCCAATATTTACATTTGTACAGATGATTAAGAATGCCCCACCCAGAGGTCCCCAGCTATGGCGTTTGAAGAGGCATAATCTGTACTACATGGAATCGGTCTATTAATATAACCTGGGTAACCTGGACTTGCTGATTCAATCAAACACAAAATAATCAAATTTCTCCTACTTTACAAGAACATCTGACAACTTAATCCAATGAACATTTACAGTACTGTACAAAGACACAAACATGAACCATACACAATCCTTAGGCTTATTGTATAAGGAAGGCTACGTAACAATCAGGCATCGTTTCATGCATACAAACTCGTCGATTGCGTCACAGGATGACGCGCACATAACGCAGGCTCTCCACTGAATGATATTTAATGTTTCTAGTCCATAGTGTGTGTATATATATATACATATATATATATATAGAAAATAATGAAACTCGCTGATGAAGGCCACAAGAGTGGCAGAAATATCCGAGTTTATAATAAATCAGTGTTCTTAAAGTCTACTACTGAAGTTGTTTCATTATTTTCTATTATTCTGTCGGAACACACGTGGAACACAAATGAAATATTATATATATATATATATATATATATATACATATATATATATATATACAATGGACATAAGGGGTCAAACCATTGACCAAGGACCTGCTTATTATGTTGTCGCTTGTGGTTCAAGGAGACCTGTAGCTGGTATTGGCGTAATCGACATTCGTACAGATATACTGCCGCTTAAAAAATCTGGACAAACTCAAAACTAATTAAAATTTTGAATTGCTCATTCAATATAGCCCCTTAAGTCTTAAGCTCAGTCCATAGGCCTACATATGCGACAAATTCGTGTGGTGAGCTTAAAGTAGTTTAAAAAATAATTTACTGACTTCTGCTATAAGAATTTGTCAGAAAAGTAGTCTACAAGCTGCTGGCTCATTAATTGGCAAGATACATTTTCTCACTAGTAACCTATTGGAATATACAGATTAGGCAATTCATGTTTTTTTGAATTTTCAAGTTTATTTTAGGAAGCAGTATATGATCAGCAGCATGCGACAGATTTTTTTTTAGAACAGTGAACTTGTGTCAATGAACTCAAAAGTGACTACACCAAAGTTACAGCAAGCAAGGGGAAGAACTTGATAAAGAATTGGTTTATCCAGGACTAGATAGAGCGAAAGAGATTATATATTACAATTGTTAATGAAGACGGATTGAAGAATGCTTTACTTTTAAATACTATAAGTACCAATGGTAGGTCATAGAGTACACAAAACGTGTGTAGACTGTATTATGCTAATAGAGAGAGTGTGTTTCATCCGATATGATTTTGCAACAACTTTTAAATAATGTAACGAATTTCTACAGAGGTAAACATGAATAAAGACTGCTCCAGTCTCCACTTACACCGGGTTTACATCTATACCTGATTTGCGTGGACGTACGCCCAATTGTTACGTATTCCGCATAATCGAAAAATCTGTTTGATCTGTTTGAAGTTAAAAAAAGAACAATGTTCGTATCGGTTTAATATAGGAAATATTATGTATAACGTTCGTTGCTCTATCTTTCATCCAGTCTTCATTATAGAAAATGGGTATTATTATTTCTATAACATCCTATAACTATTATGCCTACAATATTGGTGAATCTTGAGTTAGCGATGTGTTGAGAACTGAAGGAAAAATGATACGGTAATTATTGGGTGATGTACAAGGACTGTAGGACGTCTGGCTACGGTTTAAGTCACGCAGACTGAAGTGGTACTACTAAAAAAAAAAACTTCATACTTTAGTGGTTTAACATTCATTCTCGAATCAAATGTTGAAAATTCACATACTGTAGTTCTAATGCGCTGGGGTCTATTAAATTTGAACTCCTGTAAACCTTATGTAGTACTTCAAACATTCAGACAGCAATAGGTCAGACTCCTATTAGGCAATGGCTTTTGTCTCGTAAAATTCTACAATAATTTTAAATAATTAATCAGAAAGGAATATAGCATCAATACCCTTAAAAAACCAAGTTCAGAATCCCTGATATCCACATCTTTCACTGGGTCATTCCAGAGTGCTACTGTCACTGACACGCCTTCATTCTTACCCAAAACCTTACACATATTAAAATAATATTAATAGAAAAAATATGTCCGAAAGTCATTGTGCAAGATGATGAATGAGTGAAAATACATGATGAAGTAAAGAAATGATAATAATTTTGACCAAAAAACCCCAAAATGAACAAATTAACCATATATTATTACAATCAAACAATAAATAAAAAACCATCACCATCATCATCACAACATTTATCATCAACATTTTTTGATATATTGGTATCATCATCATCAACATTTCACTTTGACATCTAAAGGACACAACTCAATTGCAAATCCAACAACACAGAACAATTGCTGGTGCGAATGAGCGTCAAACTCTTGTATAACATCACCATAACAATATAATGCTACATACCGGTAACAATTTTTCGGAAATGTAAATGGTGAAATCAGAATTTTTCATGTAATTCATTAGTACATACGCCCTGAATTACAATGGACCATTCCGGCAAGCCAGGCCAACAGCATAAACGTACGTAAACACGTGTGTTTATAGGGCAGGTGCGCATTTCCTGGCGATGTTCTTATTGGCCAGGTGTTAATTGATTGACTCTCTAGAGAGGCCCATCAAATAATATTGATTCACAAGTAAAGATGAATGTCGTCAAGGGCTTTTTGTGCTATAAGTATTGTAAAAATGGATATAACAATGTAGTTGCTCTTTAGTGAGACAATGTACCATAAATTCCTCTACATGTGGATTTCAATGAACCAAAGCCTTTTGTTAATGAATTTGCTCTAAAGAAAAATATATAAAAAATATTCTTTGTCAAATTTTGTATTTTTTAAATACTGCAACAAATGTAGCATTAGTAGTACTAAAAAATGAACTAAATCCGTTAAATACGGACGCAATTTTTTTAAAGGCATATATTAGCTTATCTAATAATAAATGTTTTTTCCTTGATCTAAATGTCTTTATAATCATTGTTTATCACCAATCAAAGAGAAAATGTTATAATAGAAAGTTATGTACATGTATCAACTTTTCAATGATAAAAATCCAACTATAGTTAGAGGTTCTTTTGTGGCTGTATCTGTATTCAGGAATTTACAGTTTTTCAATGAATCTTGAAGGATGAAGGGATGGGGAACACAATCTCATACGGTTTGGGGGCCAAAGCACAAATTGCAATGATATTTTATATCTACAAAAAATTCCAAAATATATTTTTGAATAAACATGCATGGGAAAACACCAATGAAATGGACATAACTTTCTGTGTTTATTACTTCGATTTCTAAAATTAACTCATGCAAGTAACGTAAGCTTAAAAATATTGTATTTTCTACACTTCTAAAACTAAAATTTCTCCTGTGAACTTCTGAAATTATATCACCGTAGCGTTCATTAGCAAAAATATAATTACACTGACTTACATAATGGCATGCAAATAAAAGTTTATAAGATGCTTATTGCTACTCTATGTTTTTTGCGCAGTAATAATTGCAAGCGTAATAGTTTTTAAAAAATAAAATATATGTCCCTCTCGTCATTAAAATACAGAAAAAGTCAGTTCTGAATTGCTTGATTTGAAAGATAACCATGCAAATTCCAACAAATAGTTTTTGTTTAGTTAAAAGCATGTGAAATCCAAAATTTTATTCTAAGAAAGAAATAACATTTAGAAATTAGTATTTCTTGAAAAGGTCTAAAAGTTTCTGTTGCGCAAACTCCAACCGACCAAAAAACTAAAAATTCTACAATTGAATTTTAAGATATTTAAATACATTTTAATATTTAAATATGTTTTACCAAGAAAGAGCCCATATTACTTGCATGATGTGTGAAATGCCACTTTTCAAGCTTAGTTAGTACATCTTGACAATGAATTATAGATCTGTGGTTGCCATTTTTTCCTCCGCAAGCAATATGCATGGGGTCATGGTTCACATAAAATTAGGCCTTCACCTAAAAAAAATCCTTACTGACTGATCCCCAAGATTAAAATGTCTCTACCTAAGCCACACAACAATTTTGTTTTGGTCTTAGAGGGTAGTATAATATAATTAACTAATAGCATGAGATTATTGCATTAATAGATGATGAAAAATAAATTGGATTATTTGCATTGTGTTCCCAGCTAGCACCATTTGCAATAACTTAGCGATGCTCCCCTTTATATAATGATAATCAATGAGCTATTAAAAATACTAGAGTGCTAAAAACCGTAGAATATTTTTTTACAAGAGTATTGTTCCTAATGCACGGCTATTAAGATTATTAAAGTACACAAGTGTCTGTGGTATACATTTAAAATGTCTAATTTCCAAATTTGGGTGCACCAGATTTCCTTGCATTTTCCTTCTAAACAAGAAGCGTAATGGATGACATTTGATGGGATCCAGAATATTGGCACAGTGACACTGTTGTGCAAACAATGACAGATTAGCAACTTCTAATCTCCAACTAGTACTCTAGTATTTCTATACAAAACATCATAGGAATTCAGGTGATAAAAAGCATTCAAGCAAATGGAAATATAGTATGGGTAAAGCAAGGGTAATGATTAATATGCATGCTACCACCTTTGCCATTGGCTAATGACTCCTCTATGTATTTTAAGTTGAACAATACAAAAGCAGCGTTACAGCCTTGTACAAAAACTATATACTGTACAGTTAGTAGGGAAGCAAAGAAAATGTCAAGCTAAGCTATACATAGCACCTCAATAAAGCCAGTGAAATGAAGGGTGTATGAGGCAACATATATTGTTATATCCTTCTTACAGAAGTGCTCCCGTTTTGTCTCATAGAAAGGCCCTTGATGGACGACAAACGTCTGTCTGAAAATCTCCTTGCTTCAGTGCTTACTTTAGTCTGTACATCCGAGTTCATGAACACGTAAAGGATTGCAACGGCCAGTCCCTGCGTGACTTGAAGTGTTGTATTAATTACACTCATTACGTATTTAGCCAGCGGCGTCACATTTTTGATTTGTGGCTCTATCAGGAAGACTATGTAAACGGTTCCAAGAAGAACAACCAAAACAACCGCAGATTTCAACATTTTCCTTCAAAGAAAAAAAAAAAGAAGAAAATCTCTTATCAGAAAAAAAACATACCTAATAATATTATTACCACAATAACAAATAGTTCTTATTGAAATTTTAATGATTTGATTATAAACAGTTTTTGAGTTTATAATATTATTATCTATTTTAAATTTTAGAGCAGATTGCAAGGAAATAGTGCGTCATTACAGCATGATAAAATATCATTAATCGTAATGTCGAAATCAGTATTGGTAAAGCACATGCAATTGATGATGCTAAGAAAAAAGGGTAGGAAATTAAGAGATTGATAGAGGAGACCGACCCTGCATCATCAAGCAAGAGTAAAGAAGACCTGAGCCCCTGATAACTGCCTGAGGCCTCTTGGGCCTAGCTAATAATACTAACCAATAGTGGAAAGGCAGGTTCTATTACTAAGCCTAAGGTGATTCTATGTTTGGCGCTTGACATGATATGTCAGTCTCATGCAGCTGAACTTTCTTTTCTTAGTCAGGGGAATTAGACAATAATGGAACATCCGTGGCTTTTGGTTGCATTTAGTCTCTCGCGTGTGCGTTTGAAGTGTGCTTGTGTCAACCAAGCTTAAATAGAAAATCCTTCTCATTCATTACTTTGTGACATAATCAGAACAAGATCGGGTAGATCAAGACTCAAACAGAAGAAATCAAACAAAATTTTATTTACTTATAATATATTCATATTCTTCAACCATCAATCTATTGTGCTACTCCTTTGATTGTTGTTATTATGTTCTGCAATACATAATTTACTTCAAAATACCGTATCAAGGATTGCATATTAATATTACAAATATATTTGAAACAAATAATGTTTACTTACAAATGATTCCTGATATTATTTTGTCCACTTGTTTTTATCTTTGGAAGTAGAACTTTCAAAATCATTGTCAAGAAGAACACATTCACCTGAAAACAAAAATAATTAAAAAAAATACTGTATTATAGTAAATAAAAATATATATGTTTATATAAATAAATGTTATAATAAAACAATGACAAGTGTCATAAAATCAAAGAAATGCTTCAACATTCAATAAAAACATAATATACTTTAATATTTAAAAATTTATTTAAACATTTAAAAAAAAATTTCAAATCCTGGTCCCATTGAAAATGCGTAACTAAGAAATGCAAGAAATTGGAAATGTGTTACAGTACTTGCAATTGTTACCATTTGTTTTTGTCTACTTTTGAACAATTCCAATTAGTTATAATATAATTTCTGTTCTTAGAATCTTATTGACAGTGATTAACTTCGTTTTTGAAAATCTTGGCATTTGTAACTTGTTCTTGAATACTTTATACCAACTCAGTCAGCTTCCCGGAATAAAATCCCTCTGATGGGGAGAGATTTTATAGCTTTTAATAGTTAGTCCAATTTTTTCTTTAAGACCACAATAGGCATTTACAATAGCATTGTTTGGATTAGCAAATTAATATATTTAGTCTGAAGACCTTGTTGTGTACGTCAAACAACCAGGGGTCTATGCTTGCCTTTTGGAATGGAGGGGGGAGGGGATTACTTCCCTGCAACACTCTGAGATGGATAAGTGAACCTTATGACATTATACAAGTCCTGCTAATATATAACATTTATTGCCAATTAATCACAATTTGGGTTGCTTTTATAAAGTATTAAATATAAATGTAGAAAGTTATTTAATACTTACTGCCAATAATAACAACATTGGTACAATCATAAAGACATATTGCTGCCAAGGCGTCTTATCCCTATTCCAACAGCTATAAGAAAAATATTAAGCTCTGTCCAATGTACATACTATTTTTTGTTAAATTTATTTCATTTACCCACATATGGCATGAAGATGTCACATCACATCCATGGGCATATTACAGTTATTTGTAGGACAAAACCTTTATACATAATATTTAATGTATTGCCATATTACTTTGTTTTATAATGAAAGGGAAAAAAAAACCTACATTTGCAAGTACAGTGAATAGCAATTGCTACTGGCTAGGGCATGAGAGTAGTACTGTAGTAGCACCAGTAATAAAACAGGAACTCTTTGGTTCTCTGATCAGGGGAAAGGTTTTTACATCAAGTGGTTCATGCAATGTGAATGTAGTTGAATTGAGGTCATCATGATAATTTCCAGTGGTGGGACTTAAGAGGGAATCAGAGCCATCTAGGTGCCATAACCATAAAATGGAGGGGCTGAAGTGGTATAAACCCTCAATCTGTTAATAGAGACCTTTTGATTTGCGACGCTAAAACAGATGGTCGTCGTAAGTTCTCTATACAACATAGATTTCGTAAAAATTACGTCCTAGAATCCATGTGGCGATGAGAACTTTACATTCTTGCATGTGCAAATGACTTCTTAGTGACGTTACATTCTACATCCTACCACGCAAATGAAAGCCTCATAGGGTCCCTCCCTGGGCCCCCTCTATTTTGAATCCATGGATCTGCCACTCATTTTTCATTTCAATTATTTGTCTCATTTATTTGTCTACAATACAAAAACAGCAAGAATCAAGCACATAAAAACCCAAGACAGAAACATGACAAATGTGAACTAAATCATTGTCAAGTGTGGATTAAATAGGTCAACTAGAATTTACAATTAAAACATGTATGAAAAGTTTTTTTTATTTTTGTTATGAAATTTGTGCATGTTACTGGCAAATTTAATGAAATAATAAATAAAATAAAAATATTCTGGAATTTTAGTAAACTTACTCTGGTGGTTCAGCTGAATTGTCCGCTGACCCATAACTATAACTGAAATACATAAGAACATGCTAAAAATGAATGAAGTTTACAAAGAATTGATCGCAACTTATCTTTAGTTGACTACACAATAATGTAAACAATACAATGTGCTGAACTTTCAGTTGTAGCTGAAGGGGTGCACATATATTCTCTTACTTGAAAGTACACCACATTATACTCTTTTTTCATATCAGACTTCTCCTTACCTCTGCCAATGGAGGTTATGCATTCTCTAATGTACTGTCTGTCAGTCTGCTAGCAAGATTACACAAAAACTAAGGAATGGATTATCATAAAATGTAGTGGAATAGTACATAATAATGTACTGTAAGTGATGATTAAAGCTGGTTAAAGGACCTGCCCGAAGGAGGGGCTAAAGTCCCCGAGGGTGGGGGAGGCTAGTGGAGCGAATCAAGTCTTACTTGGCTGGGGGCCGCACAGTGCCGCTGGTGGGGGTCCAGGGGGCGAAGCCACGGATATTTGATGAATTAATGCATAATTTTTTTACTTATTTGATAGGCATTGAGTTACTATAATATGACTTCATGTAGGTTATGCTTTCTAATGTTGAAATCAGCTTCCATTATTCTCATTGAATTATTATTATTATTATTATTATTATTATTATTGTTATTGTTGTTGTTGTTATTGTGATGAAAAGTTAACACAAACAATATGGTGGCTAAACAATTATAACATGTAAATATTTTTTTTAAAATTTATTTGTTCTCCGACAAGATTTATCGTCTTCCCCGACAGCGCCACCACTGTGTCAAATGTCAAAGGAAAGGTCAAAGGACAAGGTCAATGAAAACTTTTACCCTAAAGCATAAAAGAAAATAATGGAATTGCTTATCACCATACACAGCCTGCGTATTGTTAGGTATTTAGAAACAAAGTGGAAAATAATGGAATAGCCCATCATACATTGCATGCATATTGTTCAGTGTTCAGGAACAAGGTGGAGGTATGCACGCTATAGAGTGACTGCTCTAGTTTGCAGTTCATTACACAAATTCAACAACACACAAATTCAAATAGGTAAAATTAAATATTGTTATTATTCAATTCAATTCAATTTATTCATAAAACCTCCAGTACGGAGAAACATGGACAATCGAAACAATAAAATGACATTTTAAAAAAAGTACATACTAGTCTAGGACCTGACTGATTTGTATGCACTTCATTTAGGAGAGAATTTCTCAACTGTTATAGACTAATATAAACCCTAGGAATAAAATAGGATGTGTGCCAAAATCTCTCTCTGGGACGAACAGCCCGAAAATGACCACGCCCCCTTTTTTATAGGGTAGGGGATATTTTGAAATTAAGCTAGACGGTATAAGAAAATAGCAAATGAAGGGGTTTTTGTTCTAAATGAGCACACATGACAAGAGGATTAAATTCCTAAAATTACGTCTCCGTCACATTTTCCGTTTATATACGAATTAGCTTGAATATGCAAATTAGGAGTGAAAAAATAGGGTTCCCATGTGCTGAGAACCGCTAGTCGTAGCGAGTTCCTTTCTTTTTTAATTGTTCAGACCATGCATATTTCCGTTTGATTTAATGTGACATTTGCTTAAGAAATGACAGGAAATGCCATATTTGACCTTTGACCCTATTTACAAATTTTTCCATATCCTCACGACTACTGACTGTAAAAAGTTGGTTTTGGTCTCAAACTACACATATTCAAGTTCTGATTCACGGTAATTCACTCAGAAATTGCACAAACTACGTTCCTGACCTTTGACCCTGTAGGCCAATTTGCAGCTGCAATACCATAACAATACAATAACAATAACTCCTGTAGACCAAACCCAGAACCATTACGATTTTAAATGTGCGGGAAATATCCTCAAGATGCATTACGTTTTTGTGAACAATTTTGGGCACTAATCGATTTCGAATTATGAAAAATAGTAGGCTGTGGCACCGAGACCTCTGACGATTAGTGCCCAAAATGGTTTACAAAAACATAATGCAATAATAGCATATTGACTACTATTGTATATTTTCGGAAAATATTTCAGCCGCTCCAAATCTCTTTCCTATTCTTCCTTTATTCTTTCACAATTTGCGTTTCATATTCTTCATAATTTTATACACTCACATATATAGTCACTAGTGTAGGTCTAGCCTAGGCTAGACCTCGGCTATGCCTATTACTATATTATTTAAATATACAATTTTAATTTTATTCCTAGGGTTCATATTAGTCTATAACAGTTGAGAAATTCTCTCCTAAATGAAGTGCATACAAATCTTAGTCAGGTCCTCTACTATACGGCATAACAAACTGACATTACACTCACTAAGGACTCAATATATATACATACATATACATGTACACATACACACATATATATACATAAACGGTAAAGGACAATATTTGTTTTTTACAAACAACAGCTAATAATCAAACTTACCTGTAGTATGAGTTGTCAAGTTGAGTTGTATTATCATCCACAAACGGAAGGTAGCTTAAAGAATGAGTACTGTAACACAGCAAAACAACTTACTAGACATAAGTAGATTTAGCTCTTGTTGCGCACACTAATTGAATTAATTTTCTTAGATCGTCTACTATAGTAAGGATTTTCATAAAGTTCTTATGTCAACTTCTTGACTACAGTTTACAGCCAGCTGGTAAGTAGGTACCGTAAGCGCCCCGTTTGAATAAGCACCCCTATCGAATAAGCGCCCCTCATTACGAGAAAATTTCCTTAAGCGCCCCGTTTGAATAAGCGCCCCCTTCTAATTTGAATAAACGCCCCTCAATAACCCAATCAATCCTGGGACTGTGGATGTTGGCATGATTTCAGGCGTGGCCATCCTGTTATTCTCAATCGACCGATGGCGAACAAGCTAACCAACACCACTAATTTCATCTGCTATTCTGCTGTTATGTAATACTGTGCTCACAACATTCTTGTCATGACAAGCCAGCTCTCTGGACGATTATCTTTTCCGCCACAGCACCATTCGTAATTTGCGGTTTCCTGATGTCCTTATTTAATCGTTTTTCATTCAAAATGTGCCTCTTGGATTTAATAAGTTCTCATAAGAACCCCTCGATTTTCATCTATTTCCATAAGCGCCCCCGTTCGTATAAGCGCCCCGTTTGAATAAGCGCCCCTCAAAAAGTGCAAAAAATATTTTAAGCGCCCGGGCGCTTATTCGCGCGAGTACGGTACTGTCTATTATAAGCAGTTTATCATAGTAGATCAATGAGCTAAGGAATTGTTGCTTAATAGGTGTTCTACACTTTATAATAGATGCTTAATAGACATGAATGTATTCACAAATTCATAATACATTTTCTGTAGTGTCTTTTTAACTATTTAAAAACACAAAAAAATCTACCAAAATACTACTAAGGTGCTAAATAGAAAATAGAACTATGTCTATTAAGTGCTAAATCTACTAAGATTTTTTTTTTTTTTTTGGAATGATAATTAAAGTTGCTTAGTTCCACCAAAAAATCCACAAAAAAAAATCAAAAATTTTAATAAAACATTTAATAAGTAATTTCAAAGCACCAAATAATTTACCGCTTCCAAATAAACACAGATCTGACTAATTACGTTTCCACTAAGGTAATTTGCACACCTTCTACTACAAAAATACCTTTAAACTGATTACCAGTCAATTTAAGGGTCAATGTAAAAAATATACACACTGTACTACAGTTTTCTATTTAAAAGTAAATGATTTAGCTAAATGCACAAACAAAGAAAGTCATATAACTAAATTTTAATTTTTAGCAATATAACTGAAAGTTTTTAAAGAAAGACAAAACATTCCAGCAATTACGATATTATAATAATATATGATAATATGATATTTTTAGTTGTAAAATTGGAGAAACTAAATTTTGCGGTAGAAGATCAAAATAAGTAGAGTGATGATATATACTTACTCCGGATCATCTGGGGTCCCTTGTACAATATATGCAATGCACTGACATATAATAAGTATTGCAGATGGGCCTAAAATGAACAAAATATGATGTTAGCTTTGTCTTGTGACTGGGAAAAAAAAGATGACAAAAAAGTATAATAAAAAAAGTTCTTTGTTTCAGAACATTTTACATTTTTATACATTTCCACATCTAGTGTCAATTTTTGTGTGTTTGAAGGTTTCTTTATGTATATAGTTTATATATAATATATTTTTATGTACATAATATATATATATATATATATCATACATAACTACATATTATTAAACCTCTCTGGATGGTTACAAGTTTACAATAGGAAATGACATCATGGGAGTGTTATCAATTATATTCTCGGCAAGCACAATTGACATTTGAACCACTTTATCTTTCAGAGTGCCTTCAACTAATTTGCAGTAACTATGAAAAAAAAGTACTATTCATTAAAATGATCTTGGTTGCAAAGGTTAAACAAGAATCCTGGAGTGTGAAATCAAGTCCCTGTGGAAAGTATGACGATATATTAGCAAAGGTAATTCCCATTTATTATCCATCTGGGAAAAGCCTAAACTAATGGTTTTTAGTCAGGTAAAGATGGTCAGATCATAACAAAACATGATGATAACCTAGCAACAACTTAAAACTATTGCCAACTAAATTTGTAAAGCTCTGTCCATCATATCAAACTTTATTTGACAAAAAACTGTTATGCTCATATATAGTCATGATGTGTCTATATATGGTCACAATGTGATGTCATCATGACCATATTTAGGTATGTCACATCTTTTTTGTCAATAAAATATGATAGTTTGGACTGGGCTTGTTTAAACAATGTGGTAAAATGTTAAAAATCAGTTCCTGAAAAAAAAAAAATAGCTGAAAATTGACGTAAATAATTGCTTCGGCCAAATTCGAAAATTTCTTTTCTGAATATGGGTGTGTTTCTAATGATAATGATAAACACAAAATAATCGATTTTTTTAAACCGCTTTTTTAATGAGTACCAGACAGCATGCTCGCGTTGCAACTGCATTTTTGATTTTTCGAAAATCGGTTTCCGTGACGGAAATTACCATTTTGTTTATACAACACATTGTTTTCCTAACTGTATAGGATAGTATCTTTCTCATTCCTGTCATGATGTGGAGTAAGATACCGTGTGGGGCGAGAAGGCAATGTTTTCGGCTGTGCTCATTGGCACAATGAACGAGTGACCAAACAAGGACAATGGTAGGCCCAAAAGAGCGGAGAGGCCTAGGCCTAATATACCCCCCCCCCCAAAATAATTTAAAAACGAATTCGTCGCTCCACATGTTTGTTGACATTTTCAGCTTGTAGGCCTAGGACATAAACAAGGACAAATTTTTTTGAAAGTTCGCGCCTAATACGATCTAGTCTTTGCAGTGATTGACCTGGAGGTCACATTTCACCTGATAGTCCATTTTTTTGTGTTGCAGCTAAAAGGTGCACATCCAAAATCTGTTATTTGCCGTTCAAACACGCTATCCATTGCGTGTTTTTAACCAATTTTTTTTTAATCGCTTTTTTCAAACTGGTCCTGTTTCTACTGCGAGAATAAAAGCGATTTTTCGAAAAAGCGATTTTTAATCGATTATTTCCTTCCAGTAGAAACAGGTCCTATAGCCTGGAGGTCCGAGGTTTAATTCTATGGTTCAACTAAAGGGCTGTAGCCAGGACTGGCATGGATGGGCAAAAAGGGACCAACTAGGGTCTGGGGATCAAGGGGAAGAGCCGGTTGGATCACAGCTTTTGTATTATAGAGCGCTTCTATAGATTTAACTGGTCAAAATGTACCTGTACATAAAGATTCCTTTTGAATTTTTATAATACAGAAAATAACTAATTTCATATTTATTATATACTCTCTTACCGTAAAAATGTGGACTTTTCGAGTTGGGAGGGGGGCATCATTGCATCCTACCCCCAGTCCCCAGGACATGGACCTGACTCCATGGTTAAGATATAAAATGCATTAATTAAAGACTGAAAAGTTGCCTAATCATGCAAATATTGTTGGCTGCTTCTTGGTAAAAAAAAATAATATATTGGCCAAAAACTATAATCTAATAAAAATTAGAACTAGATTTTCGAGAAATCTGGTAGGTTGGGCTTGGGAAGCACAAAGATATATGTTTTGGCCTTAGTTATTAACTTTCAAAAATACCGTAAAACCTTGAATTGAAGCCCAATGAGATCTCGATATGAAGCCCATCTCAAAATGAAAAAGAAGCCCATGGTCTTCTTTTCAAGATAGCATAGGCTTCTTTTCGAGATAGTACAGTACATACACTGTGTGTGAATTTTAGAAAACAAAAAAAAATTAAAAACAAGCTTGGTTTATACATTAGTTTAAGTGATTTAATGCCAGTTAAATACACTCCATAATACAAATTGATGTTACATTGACCTTATTTATTGATTAATTGTACAACTTCACAAAATTTACAGCATTCGTTTTGAAAAGAAGCCTCCCCTCTTTACTTTGCAAAAGTAGTCTCGAAAAGAAGCCTAAGGCTTTAATTCAAGGTTTTACGGTTTGCTGACTGATAAAAGAAAACGTTAAAAAATTCAATACACAGTGTGAAATACTCATATCAACTTTCTTTTGAAGCAGATTAAACAAAGCAGTTTTCACTGGATTACAGAAGTTTTACTATGAAAATCCTATTATTTATTGCCTGTCGATTTAAGAACTTATGCAAATAAGCGACTAATAGAAATGATACCACTTATGCAGCAACTGGTAATTGGTGAAGAAAAACACATTCTCTCATTCTAATTCAATTGAAATGTAATAACTATAAATATACAAAGTATGTAATTCAAATATTGCATTTTTAGCTTTCAAGTTTTCTAGGTCAAAACGAAATGTTTATCTTCAGGAAACTAAATTGATAAATGGCACAGAAAATATATAGCAGAATGATTTGAAAGCAGATGGCTTTCACCATGAAGAGCAAATGTTTTTTTAATGGGAAAAGGATAGGTAGGTATCTAGAGTATTTATTTGGTTTTAATGATTTAGGTATATAATGATTCTCACCATATTTTTATTAATGTCTCGATCTTAAGTACATTAGAAGAGTGTTTGGAAGGTCTAGGATAATTAGGTTTTTATGATTTCAATGTTAAGCCAAGTCTAGTGAAGTTATTATTATGACGAAAGTTCAGAAACCTCTGTATTCCTTTTACACAATAATAATAATATTAATAATAATAGTCGACTTATATAGCGCATATTGTAGACTAACCTCTATGCGCTTTACACTGGATCACTGGATCAAGCACATTGAACAACACAATAATATAACATGTATTATTTCTTTGAACAAACAATATAAATTTAATATCAAATGTTTCTGTTTGCAATTAGGGATGTAGGAAGTTACATAACAAGATATGTCCACGTATCAATGAGCGTCATGTTTGGTGGATTATTATTATTATTATTATTAAATTATTATTATTATTATTATTATTATTATTGTTAGATTTGTTTATTGGTGTATACAAATATTTATATAACACTGCACAAATATGTTTAGTTTAGGTATGGTAATTTTAAAGTTTAACAGGACCATATGAAAAATATATGTATATGAAAAAATAATTTAGAAAGATATTTTAGTATTTTGTTTATTCATAAAAAATGTGGCTATGTCTTATCAGACACAAAATTCATTTTGTGTCTGCAATAAAATTTGTAATATGAAAAACAGGTTTTAAGAATCGCCTGATATGTCTTATCCTGTATAAATATGTTCGAAATAAAAAATAAAAAAATAAAAAATGTCAATGTGTAATTTATATACCAGAATAAACAAATTGAATATAAATCAGTAACCGTTATAATTTTCTCTCTATTTTTTTCATTTATTAAAATCATTTGTCTCAGTCACAAGAGAATATTTTTTATGGCACCTGAATACTGACTTTATTGCAAGCCATAAATAAATAAAATGATTACATAAATGACAGCTGTATATTTTTGTCAACAATTCATACTCAATTCTAGTATTTCCTGTTTACATTTATTCATTCATACAATGCAGTTTTAAAATAATTAATTTGTTTGGTGTATGATTGACAGTCTGGCTTTGAATGCAGAAGTTACATATTTGTTAAATATAATTTCTGTTTGTATCAATGGAGATTTCATGGTGTACTCTCGCTCCTCTGAAACTACCTTTTTAAACTTTTGGGTGCATTATTACGGTATGTCATTTTATCTTTAACAAATACGTGCTAATGTTAATTTTATGTGCATTCATTTTTTCCATGTAATGTCCTAGACAATATAAATTTGCTTTGAAAAGATTTGATGTGTTGCTGTTCTTGATCCATTCCTTTGGGAATTTGAAATCTCCCTTGTAATATTTCTTGGAATGTTACCAAAATTGAATAAATAAAAGAAGTTTTAACAGCTGGGAATAAAAATGTGAGTTGGTCATGATGATAGATGCTGCATAATGTGATTTTTCTATTTAAAAAAATGGTTAATGTATATTCCCTCTAGATTTAAATGGATGGATGAGTTGCTTGTGAAAGAACTACTTGGAAGCCAGCTGTGGCATGATTTATATTTCTTTTAAGTTCACATAAAAAGTTATACATCAGCACTAGGTGTACGTGAGAGAAATATTCTAATGCATAAAAATAACGAGGAAATCAAGGCGCTATAAAATTTAATATAATATAAAGTTAAAATAGTATTATATATAACGATAATGATTATTAGATAAAATAATATCAATAACAGTAGCATAATAACAATACCACTCCAACTAGTACTAACAATGATTAAATCAATAAAAATAACAATATAAACAATATAATAAATAATTTTTATAAGAAATAAATAATAATGTAAATAAATATAAAATAATTTGTATAATTTATGTAAAGATGTATAAATAATGATGTTTAGTTTGGTAACAATTCTTACTATTTCAGTTTTATGTTAGTGTTAGCTTTATTTTTCCACTGGCTGTTGTACCTGTCGTTGTTCAAATTTACTACAAGTCAATACAGTATTGATTGACT